GGAGGGGGGAACATTTCTCCTTCGTAAACACGCGAGCACACATGTCGTGTAATGAAGCCTCTGAAACCCCAAACCCCTAAATCTCGACAGCCAGTAAAGTACGGCCGTACGGCCACCTGCCGGTGCCGGCTCTTCCAACGCCACACTGCCCGTTCCGCCCCCTGGACCTCCCCTCCCCCTTTTCCCACCCCCCACCCCACCCCCCACCCCTAACCGCACCCCGCGGGGGAATGGCGCCAGATGGAAATGGAATCGGGGTGGTCGGCGGTGTCCTCCTGGGGGCCCAACTGTACGGAATATGTACGGGGTACGGATGCATTCCAGTTCCGGCCAGGCCTGGATCGAACCTCCGTACTGCGGGTTTGGATCGCGGAACTCTTCAGGTGGGTGGATTGGATTTCCTGCGAGAGGGCGCTGATGAAAGGAACTGCTACTGCTATTGCTACTGCTGCTACTGCTGCTGCTAGTGCTGCTGCTGCTGCTGCACGGGTAGAAAGGGGAAAGGGGAGGGGAAAAGGAGGGGAGGTGTGTTAAGTGGAGGCGGCGGTTGTGGCATCGCCGCAATATGTCGCCGAGGAGCGCTGAATGAGTGTGTGGGGGGTTGGGGTGGGAAGGGGGGAGGGAAGGGGGGAATTATATATGTTAAATTAATGTACTGCAATCTCAAAAAACGTAATTGCCGATGACCCCAGAGGGGGAGGGGGGAGAGGAGGCCATATCGGCAGTACACGGAGCCAGAAGGCACAAGGCATGGGGTATTAGGGTTTTACAACCGCTAACTAACGAACACCAACTGAAACCAACTGCCGCAGATCCGCTGAGCTTGTGCACGTGGCGGATGAGGAGCTGTACGGCATCCAACTGTTGCGGTTTATACCGGTGGGACGTGCTGGTTGAGAGGAAATGGTGTGGGTTAGGGGTCGGGTGGATGTGTATGCCGGGTGGCGCCCACTAGGGGGGTTCGGGGGGGGGAGAGGGGGGGAAGACGAACCACGAACGAGTGAAGCTGATGCCAAGGAAAGACTGAAGCGCCAGAAGTAAAGCAGGCAGAACTAACCAGTCGGCGGTTGTGAAGAAGAAGTCCACGAGATGATGTTAGTAGTCATGTGGCGATAGCGGGGCAGCTTGTGGGAGGCCTTACACAGCCTGGGGCAGAGCCGGTTAAAGCCCAGGCTCAACAGTCAAGACTCATCCCGCCTCTCACACCCACGTTTCAAAGAATAAAACCCAGGTACAACCCCCCTAAAACCCTAAAACCCTAAACCCCCTAACGCAGGAAACCCGGGAGGCCGAGCCCGACCCCTGCCACCACCAGCTCATCCGCGCCCTAGCCAATGTTACCGTACCGATGCCGTTGGGTCCCGGGGGTAACGGCAGTTCCGAAACAGCGCACGGAGTTCCCATCCTCATGTCGTTGCCCCACTACTGCCTGGTGGTTTTGGATGGATGGGACTGTCGTACTGGTGGGAAGGGTGGGAGTGCCGTACTGTCCGTACTATCACGAGGTGGGTGTCCAGGAGCCGGGCGGCGTGTATGTGCTGAGGGCACCTAGGGGTTGCGGGGGGGGTCACTTCCCGCCCCCCCCCCCGCGTCTTTCTTTCTGGGATTTAACAGCCGCCACCTGTGCAGTCGCGTGTGATACGAGTTACCAGTTACCAGTTACCAGTTACAAGTTACAAGTGCCGCACGAGTGCGGGGGTTCCGTCAAAGCCGGGAGGCCATGGACTATGTATATTGAAAGTTGATTACACCGTACAACCGATGGGGGTTTGGGTCTTTTTGCCACCGCAACCTTTTCTCATCCAGTCACCCGACATCCGTAGAGACAGCCATCAGCCATCACCACCATGCGAATCCAGCATATGCGAAATTTGGTCCATCATCAGGACCTTGTCTCCGTACCTCAGCAGCGTTAGGAAGCCTAGATCTTCCATACGATGTCGGGGTTTTGACCAGGGATTGAACCCGGAACCTATATACACACAAAGGCGCCACCAGACCAGACCGAGCCAGACCAGACCAGACCGGCGTGTGTGTATGCGTGTATGTGTATATGTGTGTGTATTTGTATGTGTTACGCCGGGTGACTGCCCCCATTCTCCCCGATCTCTATCGCAACCGGGTTTCAGCTCTCTAGGGCTCCCGGGGGGAGAAGGTTTCCGCGAGCCCTTGCCTTCCCTCTTTTGAACCGTACGACAGGCTCCTAGTTGAGGCTTTGAAGGAGGGTAACGCAACTTGAGGAGGTGTGAAGCATGTGCACCCACATGAACACGCGTGGCGGCTCCTCCTGACCTACATTCGCTTCCCCCCCTTCCCCCCTCCCCCCAATGCCACCCCAGGTGGATGAGTGGGTGTCTGCCGCACTGACCGGCATGTCGTGTGACCCGCTACGTCACGGCATCTTTCTGGATGTGGAGCCCACCACCGGTGGGGGGGGTGGGGGGTTTGGAGGGGGGGGGTGGGGAGGGGGGGGGGTTGGAAG